TGGCAGAGCTGGGTTGGGGAGAATGAGCCCATGTGTGTATGATATGCTGAGTGGCCTCCTGCCCCAAAGTCTGCTCAGCCATCAGCATGCTTCATTCCTGCTTAGCACTGTGTGCCTGAAGGAGGCTGGGCAGACACTGGCCCACACCATCACTACTGTGTGCAGAGTTAGGGTCAGTTCTCTGTTCAGAAAGACCTGGAAGGTTGTCTCAGAAGTCTTCCAGATCTCTTACTCATCCAAAAGAATTAAATCTAGGATAATTGTATATCCCTCCTTGCCTAGAAGAGTCCTGACTTATGACAACTTTTTAATAGAATCATTTAATAGCATATCCTTTTGCTTATATCATGGCCTTGCTTGATTCATAAATTATGTGGTCACCCTAGTTATAATAGTCTGAGGTTTCTCAACACAGAAATGTGTCCATCCCTGGATTCCCTTCTCATGCTCTACATGTATAATTCTTCAAAATCTAGCAAGGAAGTCTTCTTTGGTTCTTCCCTGGGGAAGATCATAAAATTTCTGTAAAGAATAATTTAATCTAACAGTAAAGTCAAATTTTTAAAAATCAAACTTTCTTACTAGAGAGACTGAATTGGTGGAGTTAGTATGCTGAGTTCTATTTTAAGAAAAATGTAAAAGTAAGCCTCACTCTTTACATCTAGGCTTCCAAGTGAAAAGCAGGAAAAACAGAATTAGACCTCCTAAAAAATAATAATCAATCATATGAAAAATATATTTAAAATATTGATTATCATTATGGAATAAAAATGGAGTAAACAATAAGAGAAACTTGGGAAACGATAAAAAGAAAGCAAGGAGAAAATAACGATATGCATAGATGGATGGATGGACAAATTAAGGAAACCAAGATAGATGGATTGGGTGAAAGGAAGGAAGTTAGATGCATAGATGGAAGGAAGGAAAATGAATGGATATTGAATGGAATTGCAAGTGTGTTTGTATAAATGAATGGATAAACAGATGAGTAGATGAATGGAAGGATATAAATGGTTGGAAGGAAGGGAGAGAGAAGAAAAGGAAGAAAGGGAATCAATGGAGGCCAAGTAAGAGAAGGTATAGAGTAAAAACCACGAGTAAAAATGAAAAGGAAAAACAATCAGTGGTTCCTATGGTGAACAATGGCTGGGCAAACACTTCATTTTTATTCTTCAAATCTGATCATAAATGGATGTTTTCTGAAATGATTTCAGCAATATGACTATCAAATGACTGAAATCAAGAATATAAACACAGATCTGGATTAGAGAGGCGGTGTGGGAAGCCACTCCAGATGCACACACCTTTAAGTCCTGATGTACCACAGGGATCTGAAAGATCACTGTAGTCTGATACTGTAGTGTCATGACTCTTGACTCACGCTTTTCCCTTGTGTGGATAATAAGGTGTGGGAGTGGCCCTAGGAGTAGGTGGCACCCAGAGGGGTTGAGCTACACTCACCTGTTCCCTTGTAATCCTATCCCTCGCCTCATTTGAATGGCTTCATCCCAATAAAACGGTTCAAGCACGTGCTCCTCTCTCTCTTTCCATGGACCCCTAAGGTCGGAGGAACCATCACAGGACCCAAATAAAAAGGTATTTGTCTGTCTCTGTGTGTTTATTTCATGCAGCCCAGTTCACCTGGAGTGACCTTGAGTGTTTAGTTGTGAGACCCGACAAGGTGGTGTTGTTTTCCCTGTCCTTAGATCTTATATCCCCTTCTTTCTCCCTGGCATGTAAATTTCACTTTGCATGTTAATCTCCTTAAGTACTGGTTTTGTTTTTTTGTTTTAGAAAATCCACTGCTACTTCTCAGTGTTTGTTATACCCTGGACTGAAACCTACAAAATTCTGGGCAAAAACTGCAGCAACATCTGAATGCCCTGGAGCACACACCTGTGGTCACTGTATTTGATGGTCCAGAAACCAACAGTAATCTTCAGTAGACAATAAATATTTGTCAACCTGTTTCCTTTAATGGTCTTCATGGTTGTGACTCTACTCTCTTTTTCTTAAATTCTTCAGCTCATAATAATATGATGTGGAGTGTCTTGGACCAGGACAATTTTGGGGTCCAAATGAAGTAATATGAATAATTTCTTCTGCCTTGCCTGACAAAAGAATTTCAGCCTTATCCTTATATCAAGCAGGAGTCTTTAGATTTTAAAATAAGATGGAAAAGATAAGGAGATTAAACAGAAGGGAAAATGTTTCAAGTAACTTTTTTTTAAGATAGAGAGAATTTTTTAATATTTATTTTTTAGTTTTCGGCAGACACAACATCTTTGTTTGTATGTGGTGCTAAGGATCGAACCCGGGCCACATGCATGGCAGGTGAGTGCGCTACCGCTTGAGCCACATCCCCAGCCCTCAGGTAACTTGAATCAACAGCCCAGGGATATTTGCAAGTGTGTCTCATAATGGAATCTCTGAGGAGCCTAGTGAAGAGCACCCCTGTCCTCACCTGAAATGTGAAACAAAGAGAGCCAGGCAGAGGGGCACATGCCTATAATTCCAGCAGCTCAGAAGGCTGAGGCAGGAGAATCACAAGTTCAAAGCCAGCCTCAGAAACCTAGTAAGGCCCTAAGCAACTTAGAAAGACCCTGTCTTAAAATAAAAAAGGGCTGGGGGTGTGGCTCAGTGGTTAAGAACCCCTAGGTTCAATCTCTAGTACCAAACAAAAAATGTGTGAAAGAAGGAGAAAAACCACAATAAAGAAATATGAGACTTTTGTTATTGATTAGCTCTAGGTTGAGAGATAGATGTACCTACCTCATTTTCACCTGCAAGTGTACTTTCTACCACCAAACTCCATAATTAGACTTCTGCCCCATAACACCAGCAACACTGGATCAGAGCTGGTCTTTCCATGAATTCTGTCGTATTCCTGCTGTAGGAGCAAAGGAAAATATATGCTCCCTGTTGGAAGAGGAAATGGGATACAATGCCCATTTTATTTTTCCCACATAGACTGTCAGATTAATTCTGCCAGAGAGGAAGGATCAAGGCAGGGAAAAATCAGCAATGCCATTTTAAAGGGGATATGCTTTCTGTCTCAGTCTGTTTTCTGTTGCTAATATTTCAATATCATAGATTGGGTATGTTATTTAAAAAAAAAAAAAAGGCAAATTTTGACTTGTGTTTCTGTTCCAAGATCAAAACTCATGATCTGGTGATGACCCCCCTACTGGCAACACCTGGAGGTGGCATACGGTATCACAAGGTGAAAGCTATAGAGTACACGAGAGATCTTTATCAAACTGGCTTCTATAGCAGAGCCACTCTCAAGATAACCCACTAACAACTCATGAACCCACTAATCTATTTATCATGTGAATGAATTATTCCTTTAATCATGTGAATGGATTAATCTGTTAATCACATGTATGGATTAATCCATTCATGAGAACAGAGCCCTAACCTCCTCTCAAAAGTCCCAAATGATCCTTTTAATACCTCACAATGGTGATTAAATGTCAATATAAGTTTAGGAGGAAAGAAACCATATTCAAATCATAGCACTTTTCATGATGGCTCGACAACAGTGGGGCATAAATGTCCCCCCTACCCGATGGTTTGACTCAAGGCCTCAAACATTGTCAGCAGGCTCCTCCCACTTCACTTCTTCCATATGGTCTCAGGAGAGCTGCCGGCAACTCAGTGGGATCACCTTTGTCCTCTTCACATCCAGTAGAAAGGAATATCTAATGCCCAAGCCTCTAGCAAAGGCTGAAAACACACACACACAACACAGAACATTCATCTAAGGGAGTTGGAAGTTAGGAACTGGGATATTATCCAGTGGTTCCAGTCAGTATTTGTTGAGGGTAGCTCCTAGACGGCATTAATTCCCTAGTATTTCTGGCCTGGTTGCTCCACAGCACAGCAAACAGCAGAGAGTACCTGCAGATAAAGGGGTACAGGTGCTGGCACTTGGAAGTTGACCTGGCATGCACAGAGAGAAAGGCTGAAAGGATACAGCAGAGTACCAGCAGAATGTTCCTTGCACATATGCAGTGTAAACTGTGAGGCATAGTAGCCACAACAGGATAGCTGGGACCTCTCACATAACAGAAACTTTAGCTTCTACTCTCTATCAAAATTCTGGAAGGTTCAGGGCCCTGTTTCATGTGGGTCCTAGGTGAAATTCCCCTCTGCCAACAATGATACTAACCTAAAATATCAGCAAGTTTGAAAAAAGCAGGACCTACTTCACGAAACAGTTACAAAGATTAAAGATGATAATGTACATAAATTGCATAATACCATGTTCTAACACAAGGCAGGTATTCAAACGAATGCTAGCTAGTAATAGGAAGTAGCAGTGATAGTAATTTAATATCAATCAGTAACTAATGCTCTTCAGGTATTTTGGCTATTTTGTCCCCAAGGCAGGGACTATTATCTTTGGGGGGAAAAAGAGATGGGACATTCATGCCCATTAATCTCTTGGATTTTTCAGCCCATATTTGAAGATTCTTTTTAAACTATTTTTTCTCATTTATTTTATTTTTATAGGAAATTACAAAGATAATTCAGAAAAGTTCCCTGGACCCTTCATCTAGTTATCCCTGGTAGTTATAGTTTATATAATAGAAAAAAATCATAACTAGGAAGTTGACATTAGTACAGTGTATGTTTGTCATTTTGTTACATGTGTACATTTGTGTAACTACCACCACAATCCAGATATCAGACCCATGCCATCCCAGAGAGCCTGCTGTGCTGCTTCTGAATACCCAGTAAGAGACCACAGGCCCTTTGCCTCACAGCGGTCTGCTTATGCCCAACCCTTCCTGTCTGCCAATAATAAAAAGCAAAGTGGGCAGGTTGGGCAGGCAAAGCTCACTTTTGAATGTTCAAATCAATGTCATAAAGTTTAGTAAAACATTATAAAAAGAATAGAGAGCTAATATGGAATTATATAAAACAAAAATAGAAATGGAACAATTAGACCAACCATGTAAATGAAAGATATAAAATAAATAGGTCTTAGAGGCTTAAATCAACCACTTAGTAATATTAAAAAGGCAATCAAGGAAAAAACTTTACAAACAGGTATTGAGCAAAAACTGTTAAAGGCTGAATACATGCGCATCCTCGTAATAACCAGTTCAACTTATAGGCACATACTAACAGAAACAAGTATACATGTCCACCATACATACATACATGTATGTTTATTGCAAGTAGCTATTATTCTTATAAGTTTAAAACTACTCGAAAATTCATTATCAGAAAATAAACTGTGATTTGTTTGTGTAATGGAATTCTACTCCATAATAAAAGTGAACTATAAGTACAAACACCTGCAAAATATATATTGAATGAAAGAAACCAAAAAACAAGAGAATACATACTGCATAAATCATCTCCAAAAATTTAATCAGTTATCTCAACCAAGGCAGGGTGTTAGAATCGAGACAGAGGTTGCTTTTGGAGGTTCCTCATTTGCATCATGGAGGAAATTTCCTTGGAAAGCCATTTCATAGGTTGTCATGATGATTGAATTAGATGGCGAGAGCAGCAGGCCTGTGAGTGGCACCCGGTTTGCCCCCCATGGCATTAGATTTGCATGGCAGGATGCTTCTGACCTTTGCACAATGATTTCACCAGCTTTTCCTCTTTTCCTCCATCTCCTTTTCTCCCCCAGGCCTCTCTGGCAGGAGAGAAGACCACAGAGTCATGTGGTACACTTGGCTTGCTCTCAGCCCCAGGTTGGGTCTAGCATGTACCTTCTCTACAGGACTTATAGGAGGGAGAAGCCCACTGAGATAAGTCACTGTAAATGTTGGATGCTCAGAGGCAAACCAGACCCCTGAACTGTCATTCTTAGAAAGGATGCTGGGAAGTCTGACTTTGGCTAAAGTCTGAAGACATAAAGGGTAAACAGTTTCCCCCCAGTGATGCCAATTCTCCCTACCTGAGCAGAGGGCCTCAATGTGTCCAGACTGTCTGTATAGACCATGAGGTCTATGCTGAACATCTACTCTCCTAGGAGTCTAGAATTTTGACACACTCAGAGGTTGGGACCAGTTCCCAACAAAAACCATGGGCACTGATCTCTAACCTGCTTCTCTGGGACATGACATTTCATAAGTGTCATCACAGCTCAATGCTGGGGATTAAGCCTGTCCCCATGTGATGGCACTGGGAGAGGATTTTGCAAGCTTCCACCTGATTTGTGTAGACTTCACCCATGCATGCACCTTTTCTTTCTAATGATTTTGTTTTGCTTTTTGTTTTGACACTAGTCCTCTGAGACCTCTAATGATTCACCCAACCTAGTTTGCTCCTGGGGACCTGAGACACACACGCAGTGTGAGTCATGGTGTGGTGTGTGTACAGGGAGAACACAGGGCTCTCCCATGCTTGGAACAGAGGTTGGGGATGTTCCTAAATCCAGAATAGTCAGAAGAGGTGGGCTGAGGTAAAGAATGGCAAGGTTCCCTCAAAGACCACTGCAGCAGACCCTAAAGACCACGGAATATGTGTGAGTCATATAAATGAAGGGATGAGTGTAGGGGTGAGAGTGTGAAGGTATGTGTGCATATGTACAAGTATGTCCATGTGTTTGCAAGTAGTGAGATTGTGTATGTGGGTGTGTTAATGTGGGTGTCATTGAAAGTCTAGGTAGTAAGGGTGAGTGAGCATGCATGTGGGTGTAATGAGACCCCAGTGAAGGACACAATGCCTTTTAGAACTTTATAGCAGCTGATGCACAGTGTAGCCATTAAAGGACTCATCGAAGATATTTGCACAAAAGCTCATTTCTCCAGACAAGAGCTGTTCCAGAGCTGGTAATACTGCACCCAGGGCACTGTGTATATCAAAGATTGGCAAATCAAAGTCTGTGAAAGGGAAAAAAACATACAATCAGCTACAGAGGAAATAGTTTTCAAGGGCAAAAAGAAGGCTCCTGCCCCTCAGGCCCTGGTGGGCCCAGGGAGTAACTGTCTACAGTCAGCTGGTAGCACTAAGAGGGAAGGACACCAGTCTAGCCATTGGGGGCCCATAGCAGGTGCACCTGGATAACCCGGCAGGATCCAGGAATGATGGCAAGGGGCAATGACAATGTTCCTGTCCTCCACTTGTACACCTACACCCAGGCACAGGGAGAGATTCTCATATCTGCCAGCTTGAAGAAGGGACAAACTTAGGGACCAGGAAAAGCAGAAAGGGACAGGCATAACTTGGAAGACAAGGAGGAGATTGGACAATCCTCAGCAACTTGGAAAGTAAGAGTCCAGACTTGAACAAGGGCCCCAAGGAAAAGGAAACACTGCTTTCTGAGAGGGCTAGGCAGGTGGGAGTGGAGGCCAGGTGACAGAAGGCCTGGGCCATAACTATGCTGCCCAGTAGAGAGACTACCTAATCAAAGAGTCTTCCTCCCTCTTCCAGGTGTCTCAGGAGGTGTTAGGCAGCCCCAGGGCTGCATCCTAACCAGCAGAATCCTCACAGCTGGAAAAGCTGCCAACATCCAATGAGTACATTTCAAAATGTTCATTTCCAAACTAAAATCAGCACAATGTAGTAATGTATGCGCACCAATATTTATAGAAGCATGATCCACAATGGCCAAGCTATGAAACCAACCTAGGTGCCCATTAATAGACAAATGGATAAAGAAAATGAAACATACATGCATAATGGAGTTCTGCTCAGCCATAAAGAAGAATAAAATTATGTCATTTGCAAGTAAATTAAAGGAATTAGAGAACATCGTGCTAAGTGGAATAAACCAGACTTAGAAAGTCAAGAGTCAAATATTTTCTCTTGTACATGGAAACTAGAGAGAAAAAAGAAATTTTTAAAGGAATCTCATGAAAATAGAAGTACAGTAGAAGTAGGGAACCAGGAGGTAGGAGAAGAAAAGGGAAGCACTGAGAAATGAAGTTGACCCTGTATGAATATATCAGAGTGCATTCCAATTGTGTATATATAACTATAATGCAACAATACATAAATAAGTAAGAGGGAGAGAATAGAGTATAGGAAGGGGATCAGGGAAGGGATGAAGATAGCGAAAGAGGAAATACTGGGAGATTGAGATAGAGCAAGTTACATTATATGCATTGATGAATATGTCAAAATGAACCTCACTATTATGTATAACTGTAATGCACTAAAAAGTAATAAATAAATAAAATGTTCATTCCACCTCCTCTTTGATCTCAGGTCCCTCTCAAAAGACTCCCATCACATACCTTTTTCAGCTTCTTTTTTTGCAGGGGGCAGTCAGTAGTTTTTGTTTCATTCCTTTTGCATTTGGTCCTGCTGATCTTCACAGTAAGCAAATACTCCACTCCTGTTGTCAGCTGATGAGAAGCAACTGTTAGTTTCAACTCTATACATCCAATGACTGAGACTGTCCAAGAAGGGATAGAACTAGGATTGAATCCCCAGAGCCACAATTCCTGTTCCCATAGCTCACCCATCCAAAACTCAGCTCCTTTCTTCCTCTTGGCTTAACAAGTCTCAGTAGTACCCAAGGTTCCTGGTGAGCCCCCAATTCTTGGCCCCTGGATCAGCTATAGATTGCTTATCTTCTGTTTCTCATCCATATTCAGGACAAAGGAAGTGGCAGCAAGCTGGGTTGCCTAGCAACCACAAACCACTCCCAAGTGGTCACATACCATCTTCATAATGCAGAGAGCCAGTGTCTCATTTGTGTCCTCCCAGTCCCTACAGCCATCTCCTCCCCACCTAACCTCCCCTTCCTGCCTGGTCAATCTGAAGAGAGAGAGAGTTTAGCACATAGCTAAAAATAGATTTCAGAATCAAAATTGATTTGGGGCATGCACTCCCCATTTACTGACTCTGTGACCTTGAGCAAGTTACTTAACAGCCTCATTTCCTTCACTTACAGAGTCCAAATAACCATTATGCCTTCTTGTGGAGTTAGTTATGTGCACTAAAGGGAAGCATGTAATTCACTTAATGCATTCAAAATACATTTTAAATTTTTTAAAATTATAAATTATTTAATATTTCAGTAAAGTATCTGGAACATTACTCTGGAGCAGCTATGGAGTTGGGAGAGCCAGAGAAGAGAAGACAGGAGATCTGGCTTTATCTCCTAAGATCTCTAAACTTGGATGATCCTTCCAACTCCCTGAATCCGTTTTTTTCTGGGGTGTACAAGAATGAAGGAAGAGAATGTGGTAAATATGTGAGCTACTGGGAAGGCAAAGTCACGGCCATTTCCTATGGTTGTCCTTTGTCTTCTTTTACTCATGATCAAGTCTAATCCTGTGAAGACTAAAGGGAGGATGGTTAAGAAAGGTCTTTGTGGACAGGGAGATCCCACACGCAGAAGAAAAACTCTAATCTACTTTGCAAATGAGACATTGAGGCCTGTAGAGTTACATGATTATTGTTTCCTGTTGGGAACTGAGCTGGATTCCCCAGGTTATTAGAGAGCTCTGAATTGGTAAGGGAAAATGCTACAAGGAGTCCCCTGCTTTCTTTCCCAAATGTCAGTGGTCAAATCAAATGAAGTAACTTGATGTTCTCTGGGGTTGTAGAAGCAGGGCATGTCCATTCTGCTCCTGGAAGACTCCGCTAGAAAATTTTGGGGCAGGGCCTCAGGTATATCGGCCTAAAGAAATACTGTGACCCCAGTTCCAATATTCACTGAAACACCCCAGGGTACAGATGCTCCTCTGCTGGTCATCAAACGGCATTTCCAACTATGAGTTGGCCTCTTGCAGGGCTGTCCAAACACTGTCACCCTGACCATCATATTCTCTGTATATACGAAAAAATTACAATTCTGGTCATATATTTAACTAACAATCCAGTGTGCGAAGTATTATTCAGTTAGCCTTGATTTTTTTTTTTACCTTTGTCTTATTTATTTTCATGTGGTGCTAAGGATCGAACCCAGGGTTTTGCATGCACTAGATGAACGCTCTACCACTGAGCCACAGCCACAGCCCCTTAGCCTTGATTTTTAAGAAATGGTTGTAATAACAGCAAATGTTTTTACAAGTGCTACTAGATGTCAACACTATGCTAAGTATTTCCCTCTTATTCTGACCCACTTCACAGGTGAGGAAACTGATAATGGCAGAGTTGAGATGACACTTGACCAAAAACCCACAGTGGGGAAGAGCTAAGTGTCAAAATCAGAAAGGATACCTAGAGCTCAGACCCAGACAACCCTTCATACAAACCTGCTATAATACTCTGTAAGGTATTGGGACACTCACAAGGGCATTCACAATCAAATCTGCCCGGAGACCTGTCTCCAAGATTACTCAGCTATCAAGAGGCAAACCTGTTCTGTTGCTTATCATTTTGAATGACAAACAGAAAGATTGTTTAGAAAGTCTTCTTTAACAGTTAACTATTGATCATGGATTGATCTCACAAGTCAGGATTTGGAATCTTGGTTTTATCCTTGGGAAACTGATCCAAGACAACAAGTTAAATGAGAACACTACCATCTGGCGGTAGAAGCATGTAATTGACAGGGACCCATAAGAATGTCCACGCTGTGATAAGAGGACAGCCTGTGTATCACACTAACACTGCCCACCACAACACCCTGCCTTTCTGCCTAGCTAATCTTCCCTCTACCAAATGCTTGCATTTCTCTCTGGCTAGAGATCTTTCCCTTAATCAATTAGTTTTTCCCAATCTGGCTAAAATAAGACCTCATACTGTCTTTGTCCTAAGTTACATAATTTATCATCTGAACTTGAGCGAAGGTTACACCAATTAAAAGTGGTTTTCAAACAACTTCCTTTTACTTTATCATCTTTCAATTGTTATATTTTTAAAACCTTGTAAACAGGAGGCAACGTAATTGAAGTCTATCTCCCACCTCTCCCACCTTTCCTGTCTCAAAAAGACTTCTGTGATTCTAGAACACAGAAAACCCAATCTAAAATTCTACAACCCTAGACACTGAAAAACTATTTGGGGGAAGAAGAAACCTGTAGAATGTTTGCATTTGTCAAATGAAACGCTTCTAAAAAACAGAAACATCCTTATTTATTATCATCTGGAAAGAGCAGTAGGGAACATCTGTGGACATGTTGCTTTTGACCAAGAGTAAGGGAGTAAGGGTTGATTCCAGTCCTCAGACCAGTATTTTGAAAGCATGACCAAGGTAAACAACTCTAAAAGGCACCCATTCCAAGTGAAGCTGCTCCCCATTTGGAGTCACTGTCACTTGCTTCTTTTGGGAGCCTCATCACAAGGCCTATGTGTTGGCGAATACAAGGATGGGGGCCCTGAAAATGTCTAGAGAAACCAAGGCACAAACCTGCATCTGACTTCGAATTAGCTTCCGTACTCGAAATAGGTAGGTATCGTTGCTGGCGTTGTTGTAGGAATCAATGAAGAAGCTGAGTGTTGAGTTCCTATTGTTCTTGCTCATGGACACATTCTGGAAGCCCTCCCACCTTTCAAAGTGACCGAGTACAGCTACCAGCACCACGCCAACCAGCAACAGCAGGGGAGTCCTCCAGGCTCTGAGGCCCATTTTTCAGCCTCAGAAACCTCCTCTCAATTGGCACAGGTGAGGGTACACAGCGTCTTGCAATTCTCTTGCTCTTCCAAGGTGGATCTCACCAACAGCCTTTCCTGAAAGACGGCTTGCCTGCATTTAAACACAAATCAAGACCCATGCCTCGTCCTTCTCAGGTCCTGAAGGAGGCCAGCCAAGGAAATCTCCCTGAAGGGCTTCTCAGCCCACACCAGTCAGTTTTCTACCCATTTACAACACACAGTCCCAGGCAAGGGAAGTTTCCAAAAACCTGAGGTATAAAAGCCTCCTTCCTTGCCTACATGCAAGAAAACTCCAGCACAGACCAGGACAGTGTTATTCAATAACAACTGACATAGAAGGGTAATATTTAAACTGAGATATAAAGAATCAGTTACATTTAACAAGGAGAAACTGAGATATAAGGAATCAGTTACATTTAATGAGGAGCAGTACATTCTACATACCCACCTTGGGTTTCCAGAGTCTTACCAAGCCATCAACTATTCTGAGTGCTTCCTCTAAAGACAGGTTTTCCTTGCCATGCAGTTGTCACAGATTTCTGCCTATTGAGTCTAACTGTACTTGCAGGCGCTGGCACTGACTCTTGCCATCCCCAATGGAGTTTTGTGACATAATCCTACCCTCCCTATGAGGGAAGAATAATATGTGGGCCACATTAAGAAATAAATCCTACAGAGCCCTAAATTTTCCTGCACCCAGAAGCCCAAATGAACATCCTAGTTTTAAAACATTTATTAATGCGAGACTTGAACAGGATTCTCCAAAAAAAGAATGATCATAGGATAATTGATAAAATGTGAATGAAAGCTGTAAAATAGTTAATATGTTGTCATTTGTTAACTTCTTAGTTTTCATCATTGTACTGTGATTTTAAAATGTTAACATTTGGGGACATGAAGGATATAGGACAAGGCTGTATGTTATTTTTGCAACTTCTTTGGAAGTCTGAAATTGTTCCAAAATAAAAAATTAAAATGTCCAAAACTAAATAAAACTATTGATCTGTAAGAATCAGCATGATATGGCAGGGGAAGCACAAGTCTCATTATCCAATTTTCTTGAACTAAAGTCCCATACTAGGGATTCTGGGAATGTTATTTCATCTCCCTGAGCCTCTATTTCTTTGTCTGTAACACAAGAATGGAGAAAAGACTCATGGGTGACTAAGTAGATAAAGGTAAAGAACCTGTTCCCAAGTCAGGCTTTTGTAGGGGTGTTCAGAAAACATCTATATGATTTTTCTCTGGCTCTGAATGCACACACTTATGTTTGTGATCTGTGGACCCAACTAGCCCCTGAACCAGGCCACCCTCCATTGTGAAAATCCTTCCAGGACCATTACAATATCCACCCTTGACCCTGGAGCCTGCCTTGCCAGGACATATCCAGCCAGTGGAAATGGAAGCTTTGGAATTCCTTGAGCCAGAGCAGAAGACAACTACTGGAAAACAGATGCAAAAAGATTCCAAATAATATGTGAGGCTATCTATCTCACCTCATCTCAGATCTGGGTGATCTCAGCATGCTCTAGAAATCGGGGACGCATCTGATGAACTCTAGACCTCAGAGAGGACAATTAAAATTCAGTGAGTTGTATAAGAAAACCCATGAACATGAAGCTAAAAGTATTAAAAACAAATCTGCTTAAGAAATATGGGAGTTAGCAACTCTAAGTGGATCAAAGACTTAGGCATTAGACCAGAGACCCTGTGCCTAACAGAATAAAAAGTAGGCACAAATCTATATCATGTCAGCTTGGGAATCAATTCCCTTAACAAGACTGCTCAAGATCAAGAAGTAAAATCAAGGATCAATAAATGGGATGAAATCAAAATAAGTTTCTTCACAGCAAAGGAAACAATCCAGGAAGTGAAGAGAGAGACTACAGAATGGGAGAAAATCTTTGCCACCTGAACCTCAGATAGAGCATTAATCTCCAGAATATATAAAGAGCTCAAAAAAATTAACCCAAAATACAAATAACCCAGTCAATAAATGGGCAAAAGAACTCAACATATACTTCACAGAAAAAGAAATAAGATCGGTCAATAAATATATGAAAATATATTCAACATCTCTAGCAATTAGAGAAATGCAAATTAAAACTACACTGAAATTCCATCTCATTCCAATAAGAATGACAATTATCAAGAATATAAGCAACAATAAATGTTGGAGAGGATATAGGAGAAAAGGAACACTCATGCATCACTGATGAGACTGTAAATTGGTGCAACCATTATGGAAAGCAGTATGAAGATTCCTCAGGAAACTTGGAATGGAGCCACCATGTGACCCAGTTATCCCACTCCTTGGTGTATACTCAAAGGACTTAAAATCAGCATATTACAGTGGCACAGCCACATCAATGTTTATAGCAGTTCAATTCACAATAGCTAAATTATGGAACCAACCTAGGTACCCTTCAATAGATGAATGAATAAAGAAAATACAGTATATATACACAATAAAATATTACTCAACGATAAAGAGAAATGAAATTATGTCATTTGCTGATAAATGAATGGAACTGGAAATTATCATGCTAAGTGAAATAAGTCAATCCCCAAAAAAACAAAGGCTGAATGAATGTTCTTTGTAATAGGTGGATTCTAACTCACAATAAGGGGTGGTGGGGAGAATAGAAGTACTTTGGATTAGACAAAGGAGAATGAAGGGAGGGGAGGGGGAATAGGAATAGGAAAAATAGTAAATGAACCAGACATTTATTTCCTATGGGCATATATGATTACAAACCAATGTAATTCTACATTGAGTACAAACTGAAGTATGAAAAGTTATACTCCATTTATGTGTAATATGCCAAAATGCATTCTATTGTCATGTATAACTAATAAGAACAAATTTTTAAAAAGAAAATATGACAGTTAGAATCTGTGTGTTGTGTGCACACCTATAATCCCAGTGATTCAGGAGGTTGAAGCAGGAGGACCACAAGTTTGAGGCCAACCTCAGTAACTTAGAGAGGCCCTGACCAACTTAGCAAGACCTATCTCAAACTCAAAAATTTAAGAGTTGGAGGATGTAGCTTAGGAATTAGTTGTCTATATATTAAGAGAAAAATGAATCACTGGTAATTTCCATGGAAAAAGAGGAAGGTATAGACCCTGGGCATATTCAAAGAAGAGATTAAAAAGAAGGTTTCTACCAATGGAACAAAATCGAAGACACAGAGACAAACCCACATAAGTACAGTCATCTCATATTAGACAAAGGCATCATAAACATACATTGGAGAAAAGATGGTATCTTCAAAAAATGGTGCTGGGAAAGTGGAAATCCATATGTAGTAGAATGAAATTGAACTCTGGTCTTTCACCCTGCACAAAACTCAACTCAAAGTAGAACAAGGACCTTGTCACTAGACCAGAGACCCTACACCTAATAGAAGAAAATGTAGGTCCACCGTGTTGGCTTAGGAACCAACTTCTTCAACAAGACTCCTAAAGTGTAAGTAAAATCTAAAATCAATAAATATGATGGTATCAAACTGAAAAGCTTATTCCTAGCAAAAAAAAAAAAAAGACAATCAAGAACATAAACAGAGATCCTACAGAATGGGAGAAAATCTTTACCACCAATACCTCAGATAAGGCATTAATTTCCAGAATATTCAAACAACATAATACCAGAAAAATAAATGACCCAATCAATAAATGGGCAAAGGAACTGAACAAACACTTCACAGAAGAAGAAATACAAATGGTCAAAAAATAAATGAAAAAATGTTCAACATCTCTAGCAATTAGAGAAATACAAAGATTCTATCTCACTAAGATTCCATCTCACTCCAGTTAGAATGGCAATTATAAAAAACACAAGTAATAATAAATGTTGGCAAGGATGTGGGGAGAAAGGTACTCTTACACATTGCTGGTGGTACTGCAAATTGGTGCTACAGTATGGAAAGCAGAGTAGAGATTCCTTAGAAAACTGAATGGAATCCCCATTTGACCCAGTTATCCCACTCCTTGGTACATTCCCCAATGACTTAAAATCAGTGTACTACAGTGACACGTCCACATCAATGTTTATAGCAGCTTAATTCACAATAGCCAGGCTATGGAACTAACCAGGTGCCCTTCAACAGATGGATGGATAAAGAAAATGTGGTATATACACACGACGGAGTATTACTCAGCCATAAAGAAGAATAAAATTATGGCATTTGTGGGTAAATGGATGGAAATAGAGATTTTAATGCTAAGAGAAATAAGCCAATCACCAAAAAAACAAAGGCCAAATGTTCTCTCTGATATGTGGATATTGACATACAATGGTTGGGGGGAGAGGGATAATAGAATTTCATTGGATTAGACAAAGAAGAATGAAAGGAAGGGAGGGGGGATGAGAATAGGAAAGACAGTAAAATGAATTAGACATAGCTTTCCTTTGTTCATATATGGATACATGACCAGTGAAACTCCATATCATGTATAACTGCATGGGATCCTATTAGAATAAGTTGTACTCAATGTATGTATAATATGTCAAAATACCCTCTACTGTTATGTATATCTAAAAAGAACAAATTTAAAAAATTTTGAAAAGAAGTATTGAAACCACACATACATCAGATAGAGCACTAATCTCTAGGATATATTAAAGAACTCAAAAATCTTAACACCAAAAAAAATAAATAACCCAATCAATAAATGGACCAAGGAACTGAACAGACAGTTCTCAAAAGAAGATACACAGAGCTGAGGTTGTGGCTTGGTGGTAGCATACTCGCCTAGCACACACACATGAGGCACTAGGTTCACTCAGCACCACATAAAAATGAAATAAATATTGTGTGTCTACCTACAACTAAAACATATATATTTAAAAAAGAAGACATACAATCAACAAATATATGAAAAAATGTTCAACATCTCTAGCAATTAGAGAAATGCAAATCAAAACTACTCTAAGATTTCATTTCACTCCAGTTAGAATGGCAGCTATTAAGAATACAAACAACAGAACTGGGGTTGTGGCTCAGCGATATCGAGCTTGCCTAACACGTGTGAGGCACTGGGTTCGATTCTTAGCACCATATACAATGAGTGGAAATAAAAGTCCATCAAAAACTAAAAAATATTTTTTAAAAAAGAATACAAACAGGGGCTGGGGATGTGGCTCAAGCGGTAGCGCGCTCGCCTGGCATGCGTGCGGCCCGGGTTTGATCCTCAGCACCACATACCAACAAAGATGTTGTGTCCACCGAGAACTAAAAAATAAATATTAAAAATTCTCTCTCTCTCTCTCCTCTCTCTCTCTCCTCTCTCTCACTCTATCTTTAAAAAAAAAAAGAATACAAACAACAATAAGTGTTGGTGAGAACATGGGGAAAAAGGCACACTCATACATTGCTGGCTGGGACTGCAAGTTGGTGCAGACAATATGGAAAGCAGTATGGAGAAACCTGGGAAAACTGAGAATAGAACCACCGTTTGACCCACCTATCCCACTCGTTGGTCTTTACCCAAAGGAATTAAAAACAGCATACTACAGGGACAGAGCCACATCAATGTTTTTGCAGCACAATTCATAATAGCTAAACTGTGGAACCAATCTAGATGCTCTTCAGTGGATGAATGGATAAAGAAATTGTGGTACATATACACAATGGAATACTACTCAGCATTAAAAGAGAATAAAATCATGGCATTTGCAAGTAAATGCATGGAGTTAGAGAAGATAATGCTAAGTGAAGTGAGCCAATCCCAAAAAAACAAATGCTGAATGTTTTCTCAGATTTAAGGATGCTGGTCCATAATGTGGTGGTAGAGGGGTGGGGGAGGATTAGATGAACTCTAGATAAGACAAAGGGGAAAAGGAGAGAGATGGGAAGGGTGGGGGTATGGGGGTAGGAAAGATGGTGGAATGAGTTGGACATTATTACCCTAAGTACAAGTAGGAAGACACGAATGGTATGAATATACTTTAGGTACAGCCAGAGATATGAAAAATTGTGCTCTCTATGTGTAATATGAATTGTAATGCATTCTGCTGTCATATATAACAAGTTAAAATTTTTTTAAATGAAAAAAATATATATTGAAAGCACATGAGGAAAACAAAAGAAGATCGTCTCATGTCACTCCTGGTGTTCCTGGGATTGTGGCAGCAGATCTCCAGCCTTAGTGGGAGGTAAAGACAGAGGCAGAGACTGACCTGCTGCCACAGCCAAACAACATCGGAAATGACAGAAGCCCCAACTCCTATTTTTGTTGTTATTTGTGTTTGAGCTTTTTTTGTTCTTGTTTTTGTAGTGCTGGGGATTAAATCTAGGTCCTTGCACATGTTAGGCAAGCACTCTACATCCCCAGCCTAAGGTCCCTTTCTTTATCTTTTTCTATGGACATGAAATAAGAAGAAAATAGAATTCTAGTAAAGTCCATGGCACTAGGGGGAAACAATAAATTTGGTTAAAAACCACATAATAAAGGAGAAACCACTGGCCTGGTTCTATCTGTGGAATAAGGAAGAACTCAGCAGCAATTCAATGTCCAAATACAGAAGGAAAGGAAGAGCTGCTTCCATGCTCATGGTTAAATGTGGAAAAGAGGAACCTCATTATTTTTTCTGTTGTGTAGATATATCATCATTTATCTATTCAATATCCTATTGATACATAATCAGGTTGATTTCAGGACGATAGTTGTAACAATATCCCAAACAAGCATTTTGGTACACTTACCTGGGCCCACTCTGTGGATCTGTCTATACTATAAATTCCTAAGGATGAAATTGTTAGAAATTTCTAGAAGAAGGTATTATCCAGTTGCCCTCTC